GTGACAAAAGATTTGGAGTTTCAGCTTCAGCATCAGTCCTTCCAATGAATATTCAGGACTGATTTCCTTTAGGATGGATTGGTTTGATCTTGCAGTCCAAGGGACTCTCAAGAGTCTTCTCCAACACCACAGTTCAAAAGCATCAACTCTTCGGTGCTCAGCTTTCTTTATAGTCCAAATCTCACATCCATACATGACTACTAGAGAAACCATAGGTTTGACTAGATGGACCTTTGTTGTCAAAGTAATGTCTCTGCTTTTTAATATGCTGTCTAGGTTGGTCGTAGGTTTTTTTCCAAGGAGCAATCGTCTTTTAATTTCATGGCTGCAGTCACCATCTGCAGTGATTTTGGAGCCAAAAAAACCTAAAATCTCTCACTGTTTCCATTGTTTCCCATCTTTTTGCCGTGAACTGATGGACAGGATGCCATGATCTTTGTTTTCTAAATGTTGAGTTTTAAGCTAACTTTTTCACTGTCCTCTTTCACTTTCATCAAGAGGCTCTTTAGTTATTCTTCGCTTTCTGCCATAAGGGTGGTGTCATCTGCATATCTGAGGTTATTGATATTTCTCCCAGCAATCTTGATTCCAGCTTCTGCTTTATCCAGCCTGGAATTTCACATGATATACTCTGCATATAAGTTAAATAGCAGGATGACAACATACAAACTTGATGTACTCCTTTTCCTATTTGGAAACGGTCTGTTGTTCCATGTCCAGTTCTAATTGTTGCTTCCTGACCTGCATACAGATTTCTCAGGAGGCAGGTCAGGTGGTCTGGTATTCCCATCTCTTGAAGAATTTTCCATAATTTGTTGTGATCCACATAGTCAAAGGCTTTGGCATAGTCAATAAAGCAGAAGCAGATGTTTTTCTGGAACTCCATTGCTTTTTTGATGATCCAGTGGATATTGGTAATTTGATCTCTGGTTCCTCTGCCTTTTCTAAATCCAGTTTGAACATCTGGAAGTTCAAGGTTCACGTACTGTTGAAGCCTGGCTTGGAGAATTTTGAGCATTACTTTGCTAGCGTGTAACATGAGTGCAGTTGTGCAGTAGTTTGAGCATTCTTTGGCATTGCCTTTCTTTGGAATGAAAACTGACCTTTTCCAGTTCTATGGCCACTGCTGAGTTTTCCAAATTTACTGGCATATTGAGTGCAGCACTTTCACAGCATCATCTTTTAGGATTTGAAATAGCTCAATTGGAATTCCATCACCTCCACTAGCTTTGTTTATAGTGATGCTTCCTAAGGCCCACTTGACTTCTCATTCCAGGATGTCTGGCCCTAGGTGAGTGATAACACCATCATGGTTATCTGGGTCATGAAGATCTTTTTTTGTATAGTTCTTATTCTTGCCACCTCTTAATATCTTCTCCTCCTGTTAGGTCCATACCATTTCTGTCCTTTATTGTGCCCATCTTTGCATGAAATGTTCCCTTGGGATCACTAATTTTCTTCAAGAGATCTCTGGTCTTTGCCATTCTGTTGTTTCCCTCTATTTCTTTGCACTGGACACTGAGGAAGGCTTTCTTCTCTGTCCTATTCTTTGGAACTCTATATTCAAATGGGTATATCTTTCCTTTTCTCCTTTGCTTTTAGCTTCTCTTCTTTATTCAGCTATTTGTAAGGCCTCCTCAGACAACCATTTTGCCTTTTTGCATTTCTTTTTCTTGGGGATGGTCTTGATCACTGCCTCCTGTGTAATGTCATGAACCTCTGTACATAGTTCTTCAGGCACTCTGTCAGATCTAATCCCTTGAATCTGTTTGAATCACAGCAAAATATATTGTGAGGAAGTAATCAATTGCTGTGACATTCCCAGTTACTTTATGCAGAAAGTTGCTTTCAAAAGATTTCTAATACAAAAAATGTACTTAGAGATTATCAGCTTGTATATACTTTTTTTTTTAATTTCTTTTTATTAGTTGGAGGCTAATTACTTCACAACATTGCAGTGGGTTTTGTCATACATTGACATGAATCAGCCATGGAATTACATGCATTCCCCATCCCGATCCCCCCTCCTACCTCCCTCTCCACCCGATCCCTCTGGGTCTTCCCAGTGCACCAGGCCCGAGCACTTGTCTCATGCATCCCACCTGGGCTGGTGATCTGTTTCACTATAGATAATATACATGCTGTTCTTTCAAAACATCCCACCCTCGCCTTCTCCCACAGAGTCCAAAAGTCTGTTCTGTACATCTGTGTCTCTTTTTCTGTTTTGCATATAGGGTTATCATTACCATCTTTCTAAATTCCATATATATATGTGTTAGTATGCTGCAATGTTCTTTATCTTTCTGGCTTACTTCAGTCTGTATAATGGGCTCCAGTTTCATCCATCTCATTAGAAATGATTCAAATGAGTTCTTTGTAATGGCTGAGTAATATTCCATAGTGTATATGTACCACAGCTTCCTTATCCATTCGTCTGCTAATGGGCATCTAGGTTGCTTCCATGTCCTGGCTATTATAAACAGTGCTGCGATGAACATTGGGGTGCACGTGTCTCTTTCATATATATATATATATAAGTTTTTTAATGTGAAGCTGTTTTAAAATTATTGAGGAGCATATTGGTTATTTTCTGGAAAGTGAAAATAGAATAACCAATGTATAAGAATGGTTCATGTAAGATATTAAAACAAGACAAATTAAGAAGTTTTGGCAAGAGTATCTTCTTCTTTCTCTTGAGATTTAAGAATAGATGGAGAGTTAATGTGCAGAAGAACACAGGGACAGCATCCAGCTGGCAGAATCAAAGCAAAGCAGATTCTTTTGCCTAAACTGTGGTGAAGGTTCTTCTGGAAAGGGCTGATGAAGTCAGGAGCTGGATTTATAGAGAAAGCTAAGGAACAGGAGAGCAAGAGAGGTTTCTGAGGCATACTCGAGTGAATCCACATATTAAAAAACAAAAGCGTTATAAAAGATCCTGAAATCTAGCTTTTGCAAATGTTCTCTGTCAAATTATCTACTGCTGTGGTTGGTGCTAAATGGCATATCCTTTGCTTCCTTCTGCTTTTGTTGTTGTTTAGTCATTAAGTCATGTCCAACTCTTTGACACCGAATGGACTGTAGCCCACCAGGCTCCTTTGTCCAGGGGATTTCCCAGGCAAGAATACTGGAATGGATTGACGTTTCCTTCTCTAGGGGATCTTCCCGACGCAGGGATCAAACCTGCATCTTCTGCTTTGGCAGGTGGATTCTTTACTACTGAGCTACCTGGGAAGCCCCCTTCTTGCTTTTATCCTCTCTGAACTCTCTTGGATCTGGCTCATCTTGGTTTTTACATAGGTGTCTAGGGAACTGTTATAGAGTTTGAAGGTCACTCTTCTAAGTGGAGCGAAATTTAGAATGGTAATTTGGGTTGATAATAACATCAGACAAAGAGAAGTTCCATTTTGTTTCTTTTTTGAGGCCTTCATCCTCCTGTTTTGGTCTGTACTTGATTGCTTTCTTGTCCTGCTTGTGCCACTGTGGTTCTAGAGCAACTCTCCATCTTACCAGAGTGTTTTCCCCAGGATCCTCTGTGTTTCATGGAGCCTAGGTGTTCATATTTCTGTTGGGGAGGATTTTTTAAGACTCTGTAAATATGGAATGTCAACTTCCATTTTCACACTTGATGGTTAGATTGGAAATCATTGTCTCTCCAGTTTTATTCAAGTTTTGTCAGTTTTTTATGACTTGTCCCTACCACCTCCCTCTTCCACTGCCAACTTGGATGTTTGTGAGATTTTCTTTATATTCCTGGTGTCAGAAATTTCAGGATTGTAACTTGGTGAGCGAAAAATGAGCTAAGTTGCTTCAGTCGTGTCCAACTCTTTGTGATCTCATGGACTGTAGCCCGCCAGGCTCCTCTGTCCATAGGATTCTCCAGGCAAGAAAACTGGAGTGGGTTTTCCTCCAGGGGATCTTCCCAACCCAGGGACTGAGCTGGTGTCTCTTACGTCTCCTGCATTGGCAGGCAGGATCTTTACCACTAGCGCCACCTGGGAAGCTCTTGTGACTTGGTATGGGTCTTATTTCCCTCGTTGTGCTGGACATTTACTCTGTCCTCCCCATCTGGAAATTTCATCCTTCAGATCTGAGAAAAATCTTAGATAATTTCCTTCTCTCGTTTTCTCTTTTCCCTTTCTGGAAATCTTTTGGTTAGCTCTTGGACCTCCTGAATTAATTCCATAGTTTTCTTATATTTTCCATCTTTTATTGTTACCATTTGTTTTATTTATGGAATTTTATTTCTGGTACTGTATGTTAAATTTCAGAGTACTCTCTTTTGTTCTTAATATTCCTTTTAAAGATTGCATTTTGTTCTTGCTTTATAGTTTTAATAACTTATTTTCCTCAACATATTGATTATACTGGTTACAGTTTTATTTTGAAGTTTCCTTTTGCTGTCTGTATAATCTCTGTTTCCTCTGTTTATTTGCTGTGGTCTCCAACTCTTTTTTTCCTTCCAATTTCTATTGACTCTAAGCTGTCAAATCATTTTAGTGTCATTTCAGATACTAATGAGCTGCTTGAAGGCTGCATCATAAGAGATTTGTTGACTACCGTGCTTTACTGTAAGGTGATCTGAGAGGGACCCGTTCTTTCTTTGGGAGAAACCAACACATAAGTGCCTTTTTTTCTTCTGGAAACTGTTTAGTTTCTCCATTAAAAAGTCTTCCTATCTCTTGCTTGCTGGGAATAAACTAGGCTGTCATTGTTTGGAGAGCCCATATGCAAAAGAGTGGGACGATTACATGGTTAGTAAATGGTGAAGGAGGTGTAAACTTAAGTTGTGTGACTTCAGAGCTTTGCTCTGAGCTACTGATTCTTGCCTTCTATGTTAAAATCTAAGTGGGGCATCATAGCCTTTTATATCAAGTTTTTTGTACTTACTGTGTGCAGTAGCCTGTTTCACGCCTATATATAGCTTGGTTAGGAACATTATGTGTATGATGCTATTCATTTATTTCCACATTGGAGATTTATAATTTGTTCTTAATTTGCAGCTTTTTTCAAGGAGAAAACCTCCAAGGGGCCTGTATGTTTATGGAGATGTGGGTAAGTGTGTTAAAATAAGTTTTAAGTGGTCTGAACAAAAAGTTTCCTAACTTTCACTCAGAGATAACTTCCATTTCTATCTTTCAACCCACCACCAGCAGGAATAGGATGAGGTGAGGTAAAATAGGGAAGAGGAGAGGATTGCAGATTTGTTAGTTTTTACTTTTATTTCTCATGGGCTGTGACTGCAGTTGAAGGCATGATTAGTTAGCATGTTAGGGTGCAAACATTATTTAATGTATAAAGTGAATCGATCTCAGTGACAGAAATCATCTCTAGATAGGTTATTTGATAAATCAGAATCTCATTGCTCAGTGCTATTTGACTCCGCTTAATAACTTAAAACAATAAGTTGCTTGTTTTACTTTTAATTTCCACTAATACTTCTACTCATAATCTAAACTCTTGCCCCTAATTTAGTTATCTTTAATCTAGTGATGAGTGGACATTCTAAACATATAAGTGGTAACATATCCTTCTCGCACTTGCAGTCATTGGGCATGAAGACTCATTTTCTTGGAAACTTTGTGAACTGTCAGTTTCTGTAATATGTGGGCATGCTCAGTCATGTTTGATTCTTTGCAGCCCTGTGAACTGTAACCATGGAATTTTCCAGGCAGGAATACTGGAGTGGGTTGCCATTTTCTACTCTAGGAGATCTTCCTGACCCAGGAACCCACATCTCTTGCGTCTCCTGCATTGGCAGGTGAATGCATCACCTGGTAAGCCTTTCTGTAATAGATTTTCCTAATCAGTTGTCTTGCTTCTTCCTTGACTTCATTATTGATGAAGTTGTCTGTTTTCTGGTTTCGATTTTACTTCAACCAAATCCAGTTGTTCTAGTCCTAAACCTTTCCCTAGTTATCCACCTTCACTGATGTCATGAAGGTGGTTCTTCTGTCATCTGTCCTTATGGCTTGTCAATCACTTATTTATTTGGCATACTCAAAATATTTGATGTAATGAGGTCAGTTTTCAGTTCAGTTCAGTTGCTCAGTCATGTCCAATTCTTTGAGACCCCATGGACTGCAGCAGTTTTAGTCCTTGACTGATCAACAAGCTTCAGACTCCCCTGTAGCCATGACAAATTTCCATTGTGAGGAAGCTGTGGCGGAGGTTTATTATCTTAGTAAGAATTTTAGGATAATAAAAATAATAGGAGTTGAATAAGTAGTTACACTGCCTTAAAGGTCAAACTGTTCTGTTCTTTTCTTGGTCCTCTCTCTTACTCTAATTTGTTTGTTAATGCCTCTAAATGCCTGTTTTACATTTATAGATGTAGCAAATCTGATAAATGAGTATTGTTCAGTTTTAAAAAAGGGAATGATAGAGATTCTTGAAGTTCTTTTATCTTTCTAAATTATTAAAAAATTTTTCATTGGAGTTTAGCTGCTCTACAGTGTTGTTAGCTTCTGCTCTGTAGCAGAGTGAGTCAGCTCTTTGTTCACATATGTCCCCTCTTGGTAACTGCGGAGCGTTGAGTAGGCTTTCTGTGCTATGCAGCAGGTTCTAGTTAGTTTTCTGTTTTATGCATAGTGTGTATATGTGTCAGGCCCAGTCTCCCAGTCCACCCCATCCACCCTTTCCCCTCCTGGCGTCCCTACGTTTGTTCTCTATGTCTCTGTCTCTATTTCTGCTTTGCAGAGAGGTTCATTTGAACCATTTTTCTAGGTTCCACATATATGTGTAAATATATGGTATTTGTTTTTCTCTTTTAAGTTATTGAAACTTGTAGATGTTAAAAATGTGAAAGAATCTCAAACTATTCTTTTTCTTTGTTCATCAGCTAATTGGTATTTCTGAGGCCAATGTATGCTTACTTAGCATCTAATTTATATCAGGTACTCGATCAGGTTTATGTGTCTGCACCTTTGGCTATTGCTAGTCGATCTCATTCTGTAGTCATTTCTCATTTTTTTGCCTCTTTGGAGAACATTTACTTCCTGTACCTTTACTTTCATGTTCAGTCATTGCTAAAATCAGAATCTTTGTTTCCCCTGTTACTTTAACCACTTAACCATAAATGAAGATGGTTAGTAAAGCACAACTGTTTCCACTTCTGCAAAAGGACTTAAAAAAAAAGGCACAAATATGGAGGTTCTTGGATTTTAGTTTTGAAAATACAACCATATTCTAACAAATTGAAGGGAGGTACAATAAACATAATTCATCTGAGTGTTTGAAAGAATTAGAAAAGATGTGATAACATGATATATTCACATAGGCTGGATGTGTGGTAATCTTTGGCTACGCACATCTTCATAATGTAGACAGGGGAAGAGAAAGGAATTCTGAAACAGGAAGTGAGGTGAACATTTTGGTGGCTTTACTCTTTAGTTTAGAATTGTTACAAAATAAATAATTAAAGATAGGTCAAATTTTCATTTTTGTGGGGCTTGCTGGCTGGGAGAGTACCCTTGGAATGTCTTCACAAGCTCTTATTCTTTATTATTTTTCTTTTTTAGACTTGGGAAACAGGTATTAAATTTAAAGAGACTTGATGGAAAAGATGTCTGTTTTATAGCAGTCTCCTTTTATTCCTGCTCTTGGTTTGGGCTCTGTTATACCCACTTAACTCTGCTCTTATCTTCATAGGTGTGTTGAGAGAATTGATCAGAAAGGCTCGAGAACCCCAGGAACACTGATATCATCATGATTCAATCTTGAGATGTTTCATTAATAAAAAGCTTATTATATCTCATGCAAAAACCAAAAGCTGCAGTAGTAGTACTTTGTGGCTTCACTTATCCTACAACTGGCTTTCTTACAGCAAGGTTTCAGCTCTGGACCAACAGAATGTGTTGATGACAGGGTTAATGATTTCTCTCATACATTAGAAGAGAATAAAGTCCTTTTTTGCAGTCTCCTGGTTTAACCTCACCTGTTTCACACTGGTAATTTTACCAGTGGAAAGGTAGACTGGTTTTAAGGTTAGGAGTTGGAAAGCAAAATTCTGCTGAGTGGGAGGCAATGATGGAAGAAATCACTTCCAACTTCTATAGGGGAGTGGTGGGGAGGAGGGTTTCAGCTGTGAAAGGACACCACTAGAGGGGGCTCTTGAGTAATCACTTTTGGCTTCCCAGCTATGGGCTTAAAAGTTAGAATTTACGAGTTTACATGGCTTCCCAGGTGGCACTAGTGGTAAAGAACCTGCCTGCCATTGCAGGAGATATGAGACGCAGCTTCGATCCCTGGGTTGGAATGATCCCCTGGAGAAGGGCATGGCAACCCTCTCCGGAATTCTTGCCTGGAGAGTTCCATGGACAGAGGAGCCTGGTGGGCTACAGTCCATAGGGTTGCAAAGTCCATAGGGCATGATTGAAGTAACTTATCACACACAGGAGTTTTAAGTCTTATAAATGACTCCCCTAGTAAGATTGTCTAATCTTGAGAAAATTACAAGGTTTTATTTAGGATTCTGTAGATGCCAAAGCAAAATTGTGCGGTAAGGGAAATTTAGTGTTGGTTTCTTCCCTACTTTTCCCCAACATTCTTCCAGTTACTTGACAAATAAGCACCTGCCTTGTGCCAGGTCATCTGTTGTTTCTGGAAATGTAATGGTGAATGAAAGCAGACGCAGCCTTTGCTCACTCAAGGTTTACAAGCTGTGGCAATGGCTTTTTTGGGTGTGGCTCACAGTTAGTAATTTACTTTATATCCTGAGGTAGTATATGCTTGGGTGTGTTCACACCACACACACATAAACTTCTTTATCCTGTAGGATTTCCTACAACCTGGACATTGCTGATGCAATGTGGTGTGATGTGAGCCTTCCAATTTTGTCTTTTTCAAGATTATTTTGGCTATTCTATTGCCTTTGCATTTCCATGTTCATTTTAGAATTAGTTTGTTCATTTAAAAAAAAATCCTGATCCTGAGATTTTGACAGGGAGTATGTTAAAGACATGTTAAAGATCAATGTCTACAGAGAATTGATAACTTAAAATATTGAGCATTCCAATCTATCAGCATGGGATATTTCTTAATTTTAAAATGTTTTCTTTAATTTCTCCCAGTGGTATTCTTTAGTATTAGTACAGAGGTCTACCATGTATTTCGATAAATTTATTTCAGTGTCCAGTGTATTTTATGTTTTCTAATGCTACTGCAAATGGTTGTTGTTGGTCATCGCTCAGTCATGTCCAACTTTTTGTAACCCCATGGACTGCAGCATGCCAGGCTTCCTTGTCCTTCACTATCTTCCAGAGCTTGATCAAACTCATGTCCATTGATTGAGTTGGTGATGCCACCATCCAACCATCTCAGCCTCTGTCATCCCCTTCTCCTCCTATCTTCAATCTTTTCCAGCATCAGAGCCTTTTCTAATGAGTCCGGTCTTTGCATCAGGTAGCCAAAGTATTGGAGCTTCAGCATCAGTCCTTCCAATGAATATTCAGGATTTAAGTCATTTGGGATTGACTAGTTTGATCTCCTTGCAGTCCACGGGACTCTTGAGAATCTTCTCCAACACCTCAGTTCAAAAGCATAAATTCTTCGGTGCTCAGCCTTCTTTGTGGTCCAACTCTCACGTCCATACATGACTATTAGGAAAACCATAGCTTTGACTAGATGGACCTTTGTTGGCAAAGTAATGTCACTGTTTTTTAATAAGCTGTCTAGATTTATCATAGATTTTCTTCCAAGGAGCAAGTGTCTTTTAATTTCATGGCTGCGGTTGCCATCTGCAGTGATTTTGGAGCCCTCAAGAATAAAGTCTGTCACTGTTTCCACTTTATTCCCTCTTATTTACCATGAAGTGATGGGCCCGGATGCCATGATCTTCATTTTTTGAATGTTGAGTTTTAAGCCAGCTTTTTCACTCTCTTCTTTTACTTTCATCAGGAGGCTCTTTAGTTCTTCTTCGCTTTCTGCCATAAGTGTGTTGTCATCTGTATATCTGAGGTTATTGATATTTCTCCCAGCAGTCTTGATTCCAGCTTGTGCTTCATCCAGCCCAGCATTTCAAATGATGTACTCTGCATATAAGTTAAATAAGCAGGGTGACA